AAAAAACATAGGTCAATATATTTTTAAATCTTATTTCTATAAAGGACGAAACGCTTTTCCTCTACCTTCTTCAGTTCTGTGACCTTTTAAATTACATGCACGGGGGCCTCATAAAAAGAAATGAAGATCCAGAGTAGTTAGTCCTGGGGGCTTAAATACCATTTTAACAAAGGATGACAAATTGTTGAGACATGACTAGCAAAGAAGAGGGGATTTGGGTTTCTAGGGGAAGCACACTGTGGGAGGATAAATATATGGGGAGGAAAAGGAATGGAGGTGTTACTTAGAGAGGTTTATTTATGCAGATTCATCTCAGTGCCTTCTTCATTGCCTGTGATAAATGTTCTTTCTGTCCTGGTACAAGAGAGAACACCACCTCAGGGGAAATTTACGCCCCGCTTTTAGGCAATAGGGAGAAAGTGAAGAGCTTTTCCTGCATCTGCTTTTTCTTGATTACCTTCAGCTCAAAACAATCAATATGCCAAAGTTGCATATTTGGGGGTGGCATATTCTGATCCCCGTTAAACTTTTTACGTAGCTAAGATCTTCTAGATTATTTGACATATTTTTTAAGTCCATGTTCTTCTTAAAGACATTCTTCAAGCACCACATCCTGTCTTTCCTGTTCTCGTTTGGCCCAGTGGTTTTCTAGGCCTTTTTTTATAGCTGACAGTTTGAAACTTCTTTCCATTTCATTCCTGGGGCAGTTCTTCTGTTTGTTAAACGTGTGTTTCTTTTACTGCAGTACATTCCCAAGTCATACCAGAAAGGGTAAATAGGGAAAAACTTTCTGAGTCATTAAATGTCTTACTGTGCCTTCATTCATGAGTAACAGTTTGGCTCCTTATAGGACTTAGGTTCAAAATCATTTTCTTCAGAGAACTTTGAAGTCTTACTTCTCTATCTTCTCGCATCAGTATTATTAATAAGTGTGATGACAATCTTATACTTTTTTGTAGGTGATTTGTTAATTCACTCGGTAAACTTTACGCTAGGAATTTAAAATTTTCAACAGAATTCTTTCCATCTGGAAAGAGTTTCTCAAATTCAAAGAAAATTTCTTTTACTATTCATTTTATTATGTCTCCCTCCCTTTTTGTGTTTGATTTTCCATTTTTAATTAGTTCCATATTAATAGCTTTCTAGGTCTATCCTATGTCTCCACATGTCTTGCATTTTTCCCTTTCTGTCATCCTTTACATCCAGAGAGATTTTCTCAATTTTATTTTCCAGATTACTAATCTAGTTTTCAGTCATCCCAATGGTTCAATTCTGTGAATTTTTAAAATGGATTTGGGGATCAGTGTTTGGTTTCTCAAGACCTCATTTGTGTTCTCTGCTGGCTCTTTTTTATAGTAGCCTATTGTTCTTTATGAATGCACTACCTGTTTAAATCTTTCTGAGGAGACTAATTCAATTTTTCATGTCTCCTTTTCTTTTTTTTTATCTTTTTTCCCCACAGTCAATTGCTTTTTCACACATCTTGGTATTTTTCTTCTACCCGAAATGTAATAATCCTTGGTTCATCCGGTAATCATTTTTAACAAAAAACACATTGTGGATTAGTACAGGTAGTTGACAAAGTTCTTTTTTGTAGTTTGGTGATACAGCTTACCCATAAGACCCATTGCTGAAGAGGAAAGTAACCCCATTTCCTGTGGGTGAGTGCATCAGAGATAGGCTGCTTCTTTTTTTTTTTTTTTTTCTCTTGAGTCAGAGTCTCACTCTGTCGCCCAGGCTGGAGGGCAGTGGCACGCTCATGGCCACCGCAGCCTCAACCTGCTGGGCTCAGGCAATCCTTTCGCCTCAGCCTTCCAAGTAGCTGGTCCTACAGGCGTTTACCACCATGCCTGGCTAATTTTTGACTTATTGTAGACACGAGTTCTCGCTGAGTTGCCCAGGTTGGTCTCTAACCCGTGGGCTCAGGCAATCCTCTCACCTCGGCCTCCCAAAATGCTGGGATTATAGGTGTGAGCCACCACTCCCAGCCTACATAGGTTTCTTTTTAGGGAGTGTGGACAGTTCAGCTTGTTCCCTCATGAAGCGAGGAGGACTTCACCATGGGTGGGGAATGCTGTCGTGTGTTTCAGGGTAAAGCTACCTTTCCCTTTCTCCTCTCCACATTGCACAGAAGGTCCTAGGATAGCTCAAGTTCTGTGTCTATGACTGCAAGAGAGACCCACCCCAGGAAGATGCTTGACTCTGGAGTTTGAGACCTTCCCTTGTCTCCAGCAAGGAACAAGTGCAACCGGCTGTGTGAAAGCATCTTTTGATTCCTTGGCATTCCAGGTGCTGCCTTGGCCCCATCTCAGACCTACTGAATCCAAGTCTGCATTTTAACAGAGTCCCTGGTGATTCTGAAGCACATCAAATTTGAGAAGCACTGCTCCTCAGCCAGCCGGCTCCTGCCCAGGCAGCCCCTGTCCTCTGTCCTTGAGCCTCTGAGCATGGGACCTCTCTCCCAAGTCGCTCCCACCTTCTCTCCGCTTCTCTTCCTCTCAGGCTGCTCTACGCTGTTCTTCAATGCAATCCACTTTCCTTTTCTAGCATATAAAGATTTCCGAATTATGAAATAATGTAGTGAACACGAACGTGCCCATCATTTAACTTAGAAATAAATCATTACTAATGTAACTGCAACCCTTGTGAACATCCTCCCCCCTTCTGGTTTTCTCCATCATCAGTTCTGGGCACTTCATGGCGTGGCATGGAAACCCCATAGCCACAGATGCCTTGCTCTGGTGGGCCTTTCTCACCATGTAGGCACAGACCCAAACGGTGCCCTCAGCTGCTGTGGGGACCTGAGACGGTATGGATGGCCTGGGCAGACTAAGGTCTCAGATCTGTACTCACTCACTTGAATCACCTGGAACATCTAGGTCCAACTGTGGTATTAAGACACAGGTAATGCTTATGACAACAGAGAGCTGGGTTCATGTTAGGGTACAGGAAGAAAATTTGGTCAAACGTGCTTTAGTGAGGCTGCCTTTGAGCCCAGGAGGAGCTTCTATAGATCCAGGAGACACAAATGTAGGAAAATGGCATCCAGCATGTCTGTCAGCTGGACGCAGGCCCCCCCCAGAGTCAGGTTGTGGAGCCAGGGCAGAACTGATGAGAGGGCTGGATCCGAGTTCTAGAGAGAACAGTCTCCTGGGCAGAGACAAGTGGGTAGGAGCTAGGGGTTCAGGCACAGGGAACAAGCACAGTCAGTTGCTGGAATCTGGAATCAAGATATGACTTGGATGTCAGGAATAAGGATGAGCTTGGGCCAGACCATTTATAAGAGTGAAAACAAAGATTTCTAGAGGCAGGAGTTGGTGAAATTCTTCCTCTTGACATTCAGAATTTGGTCTGGAATAAACTGATCAAGATCACAGGGACTCAGCTGGGGAAGAGAGGAGGCGAGGAAAGAGAAAAGAGGAAAGGTGATGCTAGGAACTGGATATAATCCAACACCGTCATTTGATCTGAAAGGGGCTGGCTTTTATTTCTCAGCATGTGCGAACAAGCCAATATACCTCAGCAAAACTATAAAGTTTGGTCTTCCCCTGCTACCACCCCCAACCACACACACACAAACCATGAGATGAATACCCCAGAGCACCCATAGGACCATGTTCCTTTCCTAGAACATGTTTTGAGCACCTCCTGTGTGCCAGGCACTGTGCTGTAAATTGAGAATCTACAGAGGGGGTCACACTAGCCTTGGTCTTTGACATTCCTGCCCAGTGGGGAGTCAAGCTGCAAACAGATCACTTCTGTCAGTGTGGAAAGGAGTGTGCTGGAGGCCTTCCCGGGTTGTCCTCACCTGTGCTGAGTGGAGCTGGGTAGAAGACAGGAGGGGGAAGCAAAGCTGAAGGGAGACGTGGAGGGAGACCCAACATGATAGGTGCAAGAACCACAAGTACTTCACTGCTTCTGGAGCACCATGCAAGGCAGGTGGGAGGTGGTCAGAGAAGGTGGGTTTTGGAGTCTGAGAGCCCTGGGTTCAAATTCTACCTCTGTGTGACCTTGAGCTTGCCACTTAACCTCTGTAAATCTCAGTTTTTTTCCTTTGATCATTTAGGGGACCCAGGAAAAAAACCACTATAAATCTTTACTACTTAGTAAAAAAGTCTATACTCCTAAGAGGCTGGGAATAAAGAGGAGTAAAGGACAAGGTGGTCAGAAGGTATATGCCATACTGGTTACTAAAACTATTTAACATGTTGTGCTTCTTTTAGGTTTAGTAAGTTGCAAGCCTTATTAGATGCAAACACTAAGAATTGGAATTGATTAGACTCGACAGCAGGAATCAATCAATCAATTTCCTCTTCTCGTCCCTCCAAAAGTGGCAGTTGTTTTTCTTCGTTCTTGGACATATATATCTTATAGGGTCTACCATATAGGCCTGCCCTAACCAATTCCAAGGACATCCACTGCCCTCTTTCATGATGAGGAGCAATCAATCATCAATGAGCCACACTAGGGGCTAGTGAACAAGAAGAGCATTGCTGCAATCTCCCCAAAGCGTTTCTTAACCAGATATTTGCAAATGAAAATATTTGATTACCTGGGGGTTTCCAAGAATTTGATCCAGATGGTATAAAAGACACTGAGGAGACATACATGAGGCTGGGCATGGTGGCTCATGCCTGTAATCCCAGCACTTTGAGAGGTGGAGGCGAGAGGATTGCCCGAGCCCAGGGGTTCAAGAAAGCAACTTGTGCAACTTGGCAAGAGCTCATCTCTATAAAAAAAAAAATTAGTCAGGTGTACTGGCACATACTTGTTGTTCCAGCTACTTGGAAGGCTGAGGTGGAAGGATAACCCAAGCTCAGAAGGTTGAAGTTGCGATGGCCATGAGCGTGCCACTGCACTCTGGCCTGGGCGACAGAGTGAGACTTTGATTCAAAAAATAAGAATAAAAAACAAAAAGACATACATGGGAGATTGTCTGGCTTCCTGGTTGTACCCTTCTATTTAAAAATCGTCTACAGCCATACCATCCTGAACATGACTCATCTATTTAAACGTCTTTTCTTCTCTGAATCCACACTGAAAATCGATAGCTTCCCTTCACCAGCAGGTAAAATTATGAACAACCAAGAATCCTCTAGAGATAACCTGTCAAGGTAAGACATGACTGGAATTCATGCCACCATTTCTGTTTGCCACACTGGGCAACTGAACTCTGCAGACAGGCATTGACTGTAACCGCCTCACCATTGGCAAAGATCAATATTTAACGGTGATGGTTTTGATTTCAGTGAAGAAGTCATAAGAGTCCTTGACTCCTTCTCTACCTATCCCAGAACTCTTCATTCCCCCGAAAGGCAGGTTCAGCTCCCTGATGAGCCAGCAGTTGGTCCAGACCAAGCCCGACTGTAGCTTCTTAGCTACTCGGTGGATGCGACCAACGTTGCTTGACCACACTGTCGCTGCCAGTCCATATTTAACGTCGTTAGCTCTTCTAATCACTTCCTCTTCGCTATCAAAGGGGACGACACAGGTCACTGGACCAAATATCTCTTCCTTCATGCAGCAGGATTCATCCTTAATGTCTGTTATAACAGTGGGAAGCATAAAGTAGCCTGCCTGATTCCTGGCGGGAAGGCTCAGCTTATCCACTCCCTCGCCACACTGGATATGGGCGCCTTCGGCAAGAGCTTTCTTGATGTAATTTCTGACCTGGGTGGGTAAAAACCATAATTAGCAATGTCTTACCATTTGGTTTCATCCAAATTGGTAGAAAATGCATTATTTTCTAGTCTTCTCGGAAATAGGGGTAAGGTCATTCCTGAGAAATCCAGGGCTGATTAAAACCATCACTCTGCTGCTCAGCTTGAGGGCAAAGGTGCTCAGACCATCACTTGGGCATTCAACCCACCTCCGTAGGGAAGGGAAGTAATTTGTTTACTGTCTAGGTACCAGGCACACAGATGAGTGCTTCTCATACCTTCCCACTTGATCTTCTCCAAACCCTATTAGTTATTTTCATCTGTTATTAGCCTCTGTTTGGTGATAAGGTGATTGAGTCTAAGAAAGTATAAATGGCTCATACATCTAATAAACAGTAAAGCTAGAATTCATCTTCAGGCATACTCTGTAGTTATATGCACAAACAAACATTTTCTCCCTTTTGGGGGTTTATGTTCCTTACAAAAAATGAGAAGTGAATGATGTGTATGATTTAAAGACCAGGATACCCTCCAAGCTGAGATTCCCTAACAAATAATTTCTCATTCCCAGTCTTATTACTGATTATAGTCTGAAACTATATCCAGGTAATCTAATATAGCTAATTATAAAAGGAAATAAATTATGTAATAAGTTAATCCAGTGATTCAGAGATAATGACAGATGTTTATCAATAATGGTTGTAGAGATCACTCATTATAATAATGATATATATATAGTTATATGTGGGAGCCAGTTATGGAGGCCTGCCTGCTGACAAAGTCCAGGGGGCTGAAGACCCTGGGTCGCCAAGTGAACCTGGGCAGCTGAGACCCTTGCTTCCTCCATTTTTGTTATTAGTGCAACTGAAAAGCTCTGTACAGTCTGAGGATGGAAAGCAAAATTCCACTCACGCCTCCACTACCCCTTGCAAAAAAGCAAGAGGGGAATTCATGAAAAATTACCTTCCCTTCATTTGAATTCCTCCCTAGGTTTCCACATCCCCGGGCTCCTGGAATTAGATCATGCAATCACTTCATTAAATATTGTAGTTGGGAAAATTGTAAAAAATCAGAAAGTGCTCGATTTAATGTGTGTCAGGGAACTCACTGGCCTTGCCAGGAAATTATCAATAGAGATTTTAAATATCATGTGCGGGTAGATAACTACTTGTAAGATTTTATTCCTTCTGATTGGCGACTAATTGGAGAAATTTGATAAGCTAGTTTGTATTTTTAGGAAGAGTGCCAATGCAAAAATTATATTTACTTAATTTCTTAATTTCTACATGTAGTATAGTATGCTTAAAAAATTAACAATCCCATAAATATTAGAACACTCTTGCCTTTACTTCCCTTGGTTAAGGAGGCTTGTAATTCTGGTTAGGGATTGTGACTAAGGTGACTTGAGCCCTAGAGGCCTTTTGTTTTACAAACATTAAAGTTCATTCTCCCTGGCAGGAAATAATTAATGCAGATTGTAAACACCAGGTGTGAAATTAGGGAAAACTAGTCAGGCGAACTTGCAGCTAAGAAACTTTGAAAATGTTGCTTTGCTCCAGCTAGTTGCAGATTGCTGTGTAAAGGTCACAGGTGTGACTTGTTAATCTATGTGATAATTATAGTGCTTAGAACTTGGTAGTGATTTATAATGTGATAGTTATAGGAATAAGTAAGTTTTGTACGGACATTAAGAAATGGTAATCAGCCGGGCTTGGTGGCTCAGCCTGTAATCCCACACAGGATTGGGAGGCTGAGGTGAGTGGATTACCTGAGCCTGCGGGTTTGAGACCTGCCTGGGCAACTTGGCAAGATCTCATCTCTACAATAAATAAAAAATTAGCCGGGTGTGGTAGCACATGCCTGTAGTTCCAGCTACTTGGAAGGCTGAGGTGGAAGGATCGCCAGAGCCCAGCAAGTCAAGGCTGCAGTGGCCAGGACTGGCCACTGCACTCCAGTCTGGGTGACAGGGTGAGACTCCAACTCAAAAAAAATAAATAAAGAAAATAAATAAAGAAATGGTAATCATTAAAAAATGTTAGAAGTTTATAAAATTTATAGTTTAGGATGATAATGCTTTAAGATCAAAACAGGATGAACAAAGACATATTGCCTGTCCGGTCCATTAAATTGTAACTGATTGCCTTAGAAACAAAAAACATGTAAGGTATAAGAGGAGTTGGAAAAGACAATAAATTGGCATTTGTCCTGCTTGCAGCAGAATCAGTGTCCAAGTTTTTTCTCCTGCACCGACACCGTCCCTCTTTCAGGAAATCCTGACCTGCTGGAGCTGGACTCTGGCAGTTATATATAGACATTTTGCTGAAGTCACAATGATATACTATTCTGCCCCTGAGGGGTATCATAAGAGAAGTGGAAAAATGGTCTTAAAAATTAAAACTATAAATTAGCCAGGCGTGGTAGTGCACACCTGTAGTTCTGGCTACTTGGAAGGCTGAGGTGAAAGGATCAAAGCCCAGCAGGTCAATGCTGGGGTAACTGTAAGCGTGTCACTGTACTCCAGCCTGGGCGACTGAGTGACCCAGCTCAAAAAAAAAAAAAAAAAAAAATTAAAAATATAGAACAGCAGTCAAGTAGTAAACCAAAGGTAGGGTACATTTTGAAATGGTGTTTTGGATTCCAACTGACCATTTATCTTCCTGAGCATTCTGCTAAGTATCAGGTTAGGACTCCACTGTAGAACCATATTCAAGGTAGAATGACATGTATATTCACCATGTTGACAAAAAAGGTAATGCTCTTCCACTATTAACTTTGTTTCCAGTTTGTAAAACAACTAATAAGCCATGAAGTTAAAGATTTTGAAATATAGGACAGTTGACACAGATTGATATTCCCCTCAATTAAACCCCTTCTCCCAACATCCGCAATGATCTCAAAGCTTTCCCAGGACTTTCCCTATTCTAGCTTGTGGGTGGAGACTAAAATAAGTCTGGGCCTCTCTTTCCCCCCATTCTCTTGCTCCTTTTGAAACAACCCACCCATATTAATTAAAAGATGCCAACGGCAATTGTCCTGTGTGAACAGGAAATCAAGGTGAGTATCTCTCCACATGAATGCGGGAGCCAGCACTTTTGTCAGTCATTCCGAACAGTGCAAGAGGTGCCCTGGCTTTAGACTACTGTGTCTAAATGAGCGTCCACGATTTATCTCTCAGAAGCTCTAGGGATAATAAAATATGAAGACAAGTGTCATTTTAAAATTGGGAACTTACCAAAACATTTAATATATAAGGTGACTCACACTAAATTGAATTCATTTCTTAGGGAAAGTAGGACGAGATGATAGAATATCTACCCTAGCATTTCAGGAACAGAGACTTGCAATAAAATATAAGGAGAGGGGGAGACCTGTGACTGACAATATGCTGTAAGTGCAAGGAATTATCAAACACTTATTTTTTTTGAGGAAAGAGAATAGTTAGGACTTAGTAGCTTTAGACATAAAATGAGAGAATAGAGGTTAGAAGAGTGAAGGCATGAAGTCAAATTGTGTCAAAAAATAACAGCTGCTGGAGAGGGTGTGGTGAAAAGGGAACACTTCTACACTGTTGGTGGGAGTGTAAACTAGTGCAACCTCTGTGGAAAGCAGTGTGGCGATTCCTAAAAGCTCTAAAAATTGACCTTCCATATGACCCTGCAATCCCCCTACTGGGAATATACCCTGAAGAACACAAATCACTCTATAAAAAAGATACCTGCACACGTATGTTTATCGCAGCATTGTTCACAATAGCAAGAACCTGGAAACAACCATGCTGCCCATCAAAAGAGGACTGGATTAAAAAAATGTGGTACATATACACGATGGAATACTACGCAGCCATCAAAAAGAACAAAATCATGAATTTCGCTGCAACCTGGATGGAACTAGAGTCTATAATACTGAGTGACCTCTCACAAAAACAAAAATCCGAATATCACATGTTCTCACTCATATAATGGACCTTGAACATCCAATGCAATACTATGAGAAAATGACTGATGGTACTGGAAACTATGGGGGGGAGGGGGATGGGATTAACAGTAGCAAATATCTGTCGGGGGATGGGAAAACACTTCTTATCTACAGGGTGCCTGAATGAAACGTCATTGTACACCTAACCCTTAACTGTACCCCACAAAACCATAATAAAAAATACTGATTAATGAAAAAAAAAAATTGTGTTCAAACCCTCATTCTCCATTTACTAGCTGAGGGGTTTTAAGTGTTGTATGCCTCACTCTTCTCAACTGAAAAATAGGATTAACACAGTCACTTATTCACAGGGTTCTAGATAAAATTACACCAAATATGTAAAAGATCAAGCATAACACTTGGCACATGGTAAGCCTTTTTTGGAATGTCAGCATCGGTTGTTATGAGTGATGGTGCTGATGATGACAATGATGATGACAGCGACGATGACATAATGCATACTCTAGAACTTGCTAGCTAAGAGACCTTAGAGATGCCCCTCACTCTGTATGTCATTTTTCAAAAAATCTGCTAAAAGGGGATAGGAAACAACAACAACTAGCCTTAGATAGGCCTGAAGCCTAGGTCTGCTGGGAGATGTACCTGTCAAATTCCTCTGTGCTTCCCCCAGCCTCACTGTAAACCCTCCAGAATTCTCTCTCTCTAGCTGCTCGCACCTTTGGGCAGGTGGGCAGGCATAGAGCCAGGTTCTCCAGAGTGTCAAGTGAGGAAGGATTCAGGAGGGTAGAAAGAGAAACAAAATGCATCCCTGTAAAAAAGCAAAAGGAGCTTTTTCTTCATTCCATGAGGAAAGAATCCCCTGCAGGTTACTGTGTGTCCCCATGGAGTCACTGGGACCCAGTGAAGTCATACCCCCATTTGGGATCACGCTGTATCTCCGTAAGTCTCTGAGCCCTTGGCCATTATAAAATAACTTTTACGTATTTTAATTGGACCCCTTTGTCAACTGCATGGCCATCTACTGTGACAATCACACAGAAGTAGGATAAACACAAAGATCCCAGACTCTGCATG